GTATGTGTGTGTATGTGAATGTATGATGTGTGTGTGTGAGTGAATGTATGAGTGTGTGTATGTGTGTGTGTGTGAATGTATGATGTGTGTGTGTGTGTGTGTGTGAGTGAATGTATGAGTGTGTGTATGTGTGTGTATGTGAATGTATGATGTGTGTGTGTGAGTGAATGTATGAGTGTGTGTGTGTGTGTGTGTGTGTGTAAGTGCGTGTGTGTGTGTGTATGTGTGTGTGTGTGCGTGTCCTACAGAAGTGTAACAGGTTACTCTGACTGCTAACCCAGGTGGAAGGTGTTTCTTAACCCAATTTGGTTCCGATTCTCAGAACCGATGTTTTAAACTTGTTTCTATGGATTTTCGTTCACAAGTCATCAACAGACGAGAATCACCGACGAGTCAAAACCTGAGTAGCTTTCATCCGGCCTAGAGGTTAAAGTCAGGAGTGTCCTGACATCCTGATCCAGTGAGGGGGGCTTTACTGGATCAGGTTTCATAAACACACCGGGTTGAATGTTGCTAATGTTAGCCTTCTACTAGCATGATTAGACTCATGTCAGAACATCTGGAAACATCGGAGACATTAATAATGTTGCAGCTTTTATTTGGTGCGTATTTATGCATCTGAGTACCTGTGTGCTTTCTCTCTGTGGTTAAATGTGCACATTTCTAGTGAACAAGGTCTCTGGGAGCCGTTTTTATTCATTCTCTATTACGCTTGTTGTTTTAACTCCTCATCACAATATGACTAAATATTAACCCAGTTATGAAATGTTTCCTTGTGACTGCAACACGTTTTAATGTATATTTTTAAACGAATCAGTCGATTATGCCTTTAGGTTTAAATGCAGTGAGGCATTTTTTTATGTAAATAAGGTCCGTACAGCTTCTCCCATCAAATCAAAGATGGTAGAAAATAAATGTCTCTGTGCTCTGCGGTGATATTTACCAACGTGTGACTTTGATTGCTTTTATAAGAACAGAGACTCCTTCACTAAACTGGGATCAGAGACAGGAAGTTGTACAATATAGGTGTAAGAGCAGATAAAACAGCTCCCAGCTGATATATCCTGTGATAAAGTGACTGACCTTGCTCTGACACTGACAGACCTTTTCAAGTTTCTGTTTTTAAATGGAGTTTCTGTAAAACAATAAAGGTTTGATATCAAACTGTTTTCTCTGTTCTTCCTTCACGCTGAAGGGTTTCTCTCTACATGTTAAAACAACAGCAACACTTTTTTAAACAGCCTTAGCTCTGAAAGATGGCTTTTTATCGCCTTCAGCATATTATATTCAAGTTTATTTATACAGCGCAAAATCACCACAAGGCACTTCACATAATAAACATTCCAATACAGGTCAGTTCATTACGTCTATCAGTAAAACGTTTCTTATATAAGGAACCCAGCAGGTTGCATCGAGCCACTGACGAGTGTCAGTGACTTTACAGCAATCCTCATACTAAGCAAGCATGCAGCGACAGTGGAGAGGAAAACTCCCTTTTAACAGGAAGAAACCTCCAGAGAATCCTGGCTCAGTATAAGCAGCCATCCTCCACGACACACACACACACACACACACACACACACACACACACACACACACACACACACACACACACACACACACACACACACACACAGACACACACACACACACACACACACACACCAAATAATGTGTCTATAGTTATATTGTGATTTCTTAGTAAATATTCTATTTGGTGAGAGATAAAAGTTATTGTATTTATCCTAGTGGATCTATACTTAAACTAGTAGTAGCACATCCAACGTCAAAGAAAGTAAAAAGTTATTATCAGGAGAGGGAGAATGTTTAAATGGTTAGCAACAGTGTTCAAGACGATGCCCCCTCCATGAGGCTACCACAGCTCAACAGAACATCGTTGCAGCTTCTTCTGGGGAGAAAAACACTTAGAAATAAAATAAAGTTAACAGCTGAAATAGCAGAAAATAATAGAGTTAAAGAGCAGATTGTAGAAGAAAGTAGTCGAGTGTGGAAAGTGGTCAGTGTGTCCTCCAGCAGTCTAAGCCTATAGCAGCATAACTACAGAGATAACTCTGGATAACCTAGCCTTTTAGATGGAGGCATGTTGGAGGCATGCACTCCACCTCCCTCTACTCCCCCACTTGTCCAGATCTGGGCTAACATCAGATTTTAACCATAGGCCCTATCAAATAAAAATGTTTTAAGCCTAGTCTTAAAAGTAGACAAGGTGTCTGCCTCACGGACTAAAGCTGGGAGCTGGTTCCACAAGAGAGGAGCCTGATAACTAAAAGATCTGCTTCCCATCCTATTTTTAGATCTTCTGGGAACCACCAGTAAACCTGCAGTCTGAGAGTGAAGTGCTCGGTTAGGAACGTATAGAACAATCAGATCACTGATGTATGATGGAGCTTGATTATTAAGAGCTTTATATGTGAGAAGGAGGATCTTAAAATCTATTCTGAATTTAACAGGTAGCTATGATCTCTCTTTTTAATTCTCATCAGAACTCTAGCTGCAGCATTTTGGACAAGCTGAAGACTTTTAACTACATTCTGTGGACTTCCTGAGAGTAATGAATTACAGTAATCCCGTCTTGATGTAATAAATGCATGAAGTAGTTTTTCAGCATCACTCCTGGAAAGGATGCTTCTAATCTTAGCAATATTCCGAAGGTGGAAAAAGAAAATATAAAATATAATATAAACACAAAAACTCAGGAAGTGAGGTTATATTTGCACATCCTCGTGTTACAGCGACAGCTCGTTTGGAGCCCCGTGAGCCACGCCCAGCCCCTCACCTGTCCAGCAGCAGACCAATCGAAGGCTCAGAATGACAGCATTGGTGACAATTCTGCACAGAAATCCAAAAACTAATACTACATTTTGAAACTGGCTTTGTGTGACTTCTATGTAATAATGCAGTCTAGGTTAGGCTTTTACTGGATAAAAGTTAAATGTCTTTATTGCTTTCACTTGCAGCATTTTAATTATAATGGTTACATTTGACGTGAGACTTTTATTTGCTGTTGCTGCAGAGAAGCAACGAGTCGGGTAATTTTTTAAAAAGTTAAAGTTTACTTTTTATTAGTCAGCAGCAAATGAGACAGTAATGAGGGATTATCTGGAACATTATAGAGCCTTTGAAATCTGGATCAGTTTAGAGAGAGTGGTAGTGTTTACTAGGACACTATTCTGTGAGAGGAGGATGAGGAGGAGGCAGAAACAGACGAAAGACTCGGAGCTGAATCCAGTCACTCAGGAGTTTTAACAGACGCTGAAGGGAAGGATTGATACAGCAAAGAATATAATCCACAATGACTGTCTGGTTGTTTAAACAATCACACCCTCACTCCTCCATCTCAGGCCCTTCTGCTGGGTTGCCATGGTGACAGCAGGAAAACCAAACCGACTGGAAGTGGGTGCAGATGTAAGAGGAAGGGTTTTGTGTTTCTGGGCAGAAATACAACATCCCATTTAGGATGTGATGCATGTGAACTTACACACACACACACACACACACACACACACACACACACACACACACACACACACACACACACACACTGAAGGCAACGCTTTGATTGGCTGGTCAGAAATTATCATGGCAACTCTGTCAGGGAGCTCGAATCATTTCAGTATACTGCATTACTTACATGCATGCATGTGCACACACACACAAACACGCGCACGCACGCACGCACGCACACACACACACACACACACACACACACACACACACCTCTTCCTGTTTTAACTGAAGTTTGCAGAAGGCCTGGAGGCAAACCCAATCCTGGAGTGTTATGCTGTCCTACCAGATCTGTCCTCATGCAGTGTGATTCATTCTGGCCACATGGGGGCAGTACAACAATCAATAAAAGTAGGTTTCCGAGTCAAAAGATGCGACTCAGTGGTGAATCTAAACTTTACATGATCGTGGTCGTGGTGGTGGGGGGTGGGGGGTGGGGGTAAAGAAGGGGCAAAAGCTGTAGGCGGATGGCAATCCTGGACCCCGCTGAAGTGTGTGAAAAGCTCCTTTTATGTGACTGGAGTTCAAACTATTTGCATCTTCTAAAACATGTTTCTAGCTTTAAATGAGGAAAACAAATAAACGCAGATGACAAATCCAGGTAAGCAACTGATCAGAGAAAACGCTCTTAAGTGTTCAAGGAAGAGTCCGTTAATGTGAGCGAGTAACCAAACGGTAGCAAGCACAACGTTCCTCCTCCTGCAGCATAAGGCTTTCTGTTGAGAGGTCCGTTTTCTCTGGAGGATTCAGGAATTCCCCCAGGATGCAGCAGGTTTGTCAGAGCAGAGATTCTCTTTTTATTCCTCAGAATAAAACAAGCGCGTGTCCTGCACTTAACTCTGAATGCACCCACATTTGGCCATGAGATGCACGTTTTAAACTTATGTGATGAAATAATTCACTCACACACACACACACACACACACACACACACACACACACACACACAGCTCCTCAGACCTAAACATCTTTTTGGGTGGAAAGATCATTTCAGGCCTGTGGTAGTCACATTAGACCATCGCAAATCAAACCTGCGCCTCTTCTTCCTGAACAAAGCTCCGATCATGCTGAAGCAGCAGAAATCTGCCTCTGATGTTCAGCTGCTGCCCTCCGACCTCTCTTCATTCCCACCCCTCTTCTGTGCTGAAGCTGAAAGTTGAGGTTTTAGATGTTAAATCGTCACAACTGAGCGACGGCAGCTAACAATAACAAGCAGGGGCGTGTCCAGGGAGTGGCCTGGGGTGGCACATGCCACCCTTGGAATCGGAACGACCACCCCATGTGTCACCACACTGAATTCCTTTTAAATAGTATCTTCATTGTCCACAAAAGGCTCGGGGTAAAAAAAACAAACAACCATTGGTGTCACCCATGCACAAAGTAGTGCCTCATCTGGGCCACCCCATTTTAAAAGACCTGGACAAGCCACTGGTAATAAGAGTGCTTCATTTAAATAATGGAATAATTAAACACACTTTGTTCGTTCCAAATATTTTATTGCAGCTTCTAGAAGTTTTACAGAAAACTAAACCACCTCGAAATGATGACATCACGTATGTCCCGGTGCACGTGGACACGCCCGCAGCAGACCGGAGCTCGTGATTGACAGACAACACTGTAAGGCAGTCAGGTAGATGCTTTTGATTTTGTTCTGTTCCATCACAGCCATTGTGGGTTTCTCCACATTTATTTATCTTCTTAGTCCTGAAACAAATCCCAGAGGAGAGTCTAACCACTGTCCATCTGCTTTGTGTTGCTTTAAAGTAAACATTTGTACTGAAGTGGCATGATCCCAACCCGCCTGTCAAATATTTATGGCTTCATACAAAGCTTCTTAAAAGCATTTTCTAAAAAAAAAAAAACATTTAATCTCTCCCAAGTCTGCTCATGAACTTTCATTTAGAATATCTAGAAGCTCTTTTTTTACTAGAGATTTAAAAAGGTCTGACAGCTCACACCGAGTTAGGAAACAAAGACGACCAGCTAATGTTACAGGACAGGAAGGAACGGTCCGTCTACTGAAGACAACATAAACTAACGTGCTCCATCTCTAACCTCACTGGGCCCAGACCAGTTACTACTGCCATCTTGGAGTTTCAGAAGGGTCTTGTTCCAGCAGCCGCAGCCTGGTGAGGCGGTCCCCGTTAACACCACCACCACCAAATTAGTGTTTGTACAGCAGCTGCAGGTAGCACTGGTCAGTGGTTGCCATGGTGATGCCTTTCCCCGGTGATGAACAGAGGACGGCCTGATGCTAAAGGCTGTTGGGAGTTTGATGGGGATTTCTGTGAGACGCAATCAACAAATCACAATTTCAAAAAGTTTCTCCCCTTAAGGAACAGCGAGGCAGTGATGTCAGCAGTGATGTCAGCAGTGATGTCAGCACGTCTGGAGGCTGGCTCGGGGGGTGGAGTTACGCCTCAGACTTGTACAGTTGAAGATTAACCACTAGAGATCACAAACTTAAAATAATACCCCCACCAACACACACACACGCACACACGCACACACGCACACACACACACACACACACACACACACACACACACACACAATAGAAAGGAGCATCTAAACCAACAACCCAGAGAACTGTGGCTCATTGAAGGGTTAGACTTAAAAAATGATTGTCAAAGCCCCCCCCTCACACACACACACACACACACACACACACACACACACACACACACACACACACACACACACACACACACACACACACACACACACACACACACACACACACACACACACACACACACACACACACACACACACACACACACACACACACACACACTCTGAGTGCAGGTGCTAGCACTCGGCTCATTTTGGAGTTTGAGTGATAAATCAGCTCACTGAGGTGACAAATGACACCTTTGCATAGAAATAAAACTGAGCATAGTTTAAAGTCCCCAACATGTCTAAAAATTTAAATAAAGACTAGATTTGACTCATCGTGCGGACTCACAGGACGTGTGCTGCGGGGACACCAGGAGACACCAGCTGATTGGTCCTCCGGGTCTTTTAAATGGGATGTGTGGCTTTAATCATGAGACAATTTAGCTTCTGGAAAATCAAATCAAGCCACAGAAAGTCTTAAACCGCCTCGAAGTTTAGCAACAAACACCGAAGTGAAACACTGAACCGACAACGATGCTTAGAGACGAGCTAAAGGAATAGTAAATCCAAAATTCAAAGAAAGGTCAACAAGGGTGAAAGCGGGAAACTGGGAATGATCTCACATTTAACATTTTAAAGGAAAAAGGAACAAGAGAGAGAGGTGAGGGTGATGTCATAACCACACACCCATTTCTCTGGAGGTGGAGAGAGGCATTGTCTTTCTGAGCATGCTCAGATGGTGCTGATACATCAGTGGGTCTTCAGCACGGAGATGACCGCTGCTGCTGCTACTTCTACGTTTCTGTGGAACAACAAACATATTGTGTCATTAAACCAGTGTGTTGCAGCAGTGTGACTTCTTACTCTCACACGGAGCATCGTGTGTGATTAGAGGGTGACTCATGGGGAGATGCTGAAACCGTATGTTGATGAGAACATACAATGGACTTGGGTCCATGCACATGCACTGGTTTTTGTTTCATGTCTGAGGTGCTTTTCTGCAAGTTTTGTTTTCAATTCAAGTTTATTTATATGGCGCCAAATCACGACAAGAGTCGTCTCAAGGCACTTCACATAATAAACATTCCAATTCAGGTCAGTTCATTAAGCCAATCAGAAATAATGTTTCCTATATAAGGAACCCAGCAAAGTGCATCAAGTCACTGACTAGTGTCAGTGACATAACAGCAATCCTCATACTAAGCAAGCATGCAGCGACAGTGGAGAGGAAAACTCCCTTTTAACAGGAAGAAACCTCCAGAGGATCCTGGCTCAGTATAAGCTGCCACACGCACGCACACACATCTGAAACTGCTGTCTGATAAATAAGACTTCCTCTAGCGTTACTGTTTTGTTTATTAAAAGCTTTGATTACGCCAAATAGATGATAAATACACATCTAAAGGGATTAGTCAGAGTCAGCCGTCTCCTTTCCACAGGTAAGCATCCTAACCCTGATATGGAACTGGTTTTAAGGCCCAGTATGTCACCTGAAGTCTCACTCCTAAATGCAAAATACAAAACACTGACGTAAACGTTGATTAAAAGCAGGTTTTACCTGTAGGCTGATCCAGAATCTGCTCCTCTGTCTCAGCAAACTCAGCTGTGGAAAAAAACCAAACAACCACAAACGGAAATGAGATTTAAATAAAAAGTCCGGGTCATCACACGTTTAGAGTGAATCCCCACCGTCATCTGCCATCTCCTCTTCTCTGTGATCCTCGTCTTCTGTGTGAGGGACAAAAGCACAAAACAAACCAGTGAGCAACATGAGAGTGATAATCAACACCAGCAATGACCAGAGTCACTTCTAGTTCTCTCTTCAACTAGAAGTGCTCATTAGGTGTGATGGGTTTCAGTAGCACCACCAGAAGGTTCAGGGTCTCAAAGGGACACTTTGTGACTTTTTTCATAAGTTAATGCAGCTCTGTGGTCAATACTTAACACGTTCTTGGACTTCTGTGCACTAAATCCCCCTGACACATCCCTCTTCAGCAGTTTTATTCTTGACAGTTTCAGTACCTTCCAGAATGAGCCATTTCAGGGCTGTTGGTGGCCACGCCCACCCATGCCCTGATTTGCTGCTATGAGGTGAGGAGCTCAGATATCTGGGAAGGGCTTTTAGCAGAGCCGTCGCTCCTCCAGCAGCAACAGGAGAGGTGGCTCTACTCTACTTTCCCCTATTGTGACATCACAAATTAGGGCTTTTTGAAACAGCTTGTTTTAGGCACACAACTCCTAAAAGCAAACAGACAGAAAATGGCTGGACAGGTTTTTTTCATGATTAGTGTTTATAGAGACAGAGACCCACATGGTGGCACAAATGGATGCAAAGGATGAGTTTTGTACGTCTCCTTTAGGGTTCCGTTTCAGGATGACTCAAACTTCTAACTCAATATTCTCTATTCTCTCACCTGGTTCTCTTTGATCCTCCAGTTCTTCTTCCTGAGCAGCTTCTGTCTCTACTGCATCTGCGTCCTCCTCTGCAGGTATTTCCTCCTCCTCCATTAGCTCTTCAGCGGTTTCTTCTGAATGCTCCCATTCGTGTTCTATGTTTACGGAGTGCGTTTCCACCTCTGCATCTTCTTCTAAAGGTTCTTCTTCTTCTGCAACATCTAGATCTACCTCTTCTGTGGAAGCCAGCTCTTTTTCAAGCTCTTCAGAGAAAGCGTCTTCTTCCACCTCCTCTGGTTCCTCTGCTGTAGCAGTTTCTTCCGGGGCTCCCTCTGCTTCAGCAGCTTCCTCTGAAGGAACTGGCTCTTCTGCTGCTGCTTCCTCTAAGAACTCTTCAGCAGTTCCACCTTCTTCTGCCAGTGTACCAGCCTCAGCAGCAACAACCTCCTCTTCAGCTGGCTGCTCAACAGCATCTTCAGAATGCACGCTCTGCTCCTCTATGGTCTCTTCGACTATGTCTAGCTTGGTGTCCACCTTTGCTTCATCAACAAGCTCCTCAGCTGCAGCGTCGAGTCCTGCTGCAGACTCCTCCACTCCTTCATCTGCTGGCGTGTCCTCAACCTGAAACACCCAAATCAATGTCAGAACTTCTACAACCAAGTGTTAAAAAACTAGAAAGCAAGTGGAGGGACAAAGGTCAAACATTTTAGCATGAACTCTAAATAATCACCAGATATTCCCATAAAAAAAATTAAAAAAGAATTAACAACTTTTTATTCTTTCATCTCAGAAAAAGAACTGGGATAAGGAATGCAGGGCTCTGGTACCGATGGTTCTGATAGAGATTTAATGGGGCATTCACATCTGGACTGGCCCGCCGCTGCATGGCCAGGCTTGGTTCGCACAGCTCTTTCAGGAACGCAGAGGTCTCCAAACAGGTGGGCGGGGCAAAAGATACGTGGAGTAGTCCGTGGTGTTCTCCTTGAGTCGGTAAACAAAGGCGGTCATGAGCAGTGTTGCTTTTGAAGACTCTGACATGAAGCACACAGCTTCTTACTCTCAATGAGCATGGGTGCTGCCGTGGGCTCCTCTCACAGCAGTCTGTCCTCACACTCCCGCAGCTGGAGCAGCTGGAGAGGCTGAGAGACTGGGTAGGCCTATCAGGATCTGCTCTGGAGTGGTTCTCCTCTTAACTCTCTGAGCGCTCCTTTTCTGTGGCCGTCTTCTAGTTTAGGTCCTCCACCACCTCTCTTACCCATGGTGTCCCACAAGGTTCTGTGCTGGGGCCTCTGCTCTTCCTCCTCTATCTGCTTCCTCTTCAGCACATCCTGAGCTCCTTCAAAGGAATCTCCTACCATCTTTATGCAGATGACATCCAACTGTACATCTCCTTTAAGCCCCATGAGATGTCTAAGCTGCAGCTGTTACACACCTGCTTAGACTCTATCAAAACCTGGATGGTGGGAGCTTTCTTCAGCTGAATGAAGATAAGACTGAGATCCTCATCTGTGCCCCAGACAAGCTGGTTCCCAAAGTCAGAGACTCTCTTGGTCAGCTTGCTTCTCACACCAAACCTTCCGTCAGGAATCTTGGCGTGACCTTTGACCCGGCTCTCACCCTGGATTCTCATGTCAGTTCTCTTGTTGGCTCTTCCTTCTTCCATCTCAGGAACGTTGCTAAGCTGAGTCCCATTCTGTCCCGCTCTGAACTTGAGACAGTTCTCCACACCTTCATCTCCTCACGCTTAGACTACTGTAACTCTCTTTTCACGTGTCTGAGCAGAACCTCCCTGAACCGTCTACAGGTGGTTCAGAACGCCTGTGCTCGGCTTCTGACCAAGTCCTCCAAACACACCCACATCACCCCGCTTCTCCTCCAGCTTCACTGGCTGCCAGTCAACTTCAGGGTTCATTTCAAGATCCTGGTTCTGGTCTATAGGGCCTTACATGGACAAGCACCATCTTACATTGGTGATCTTCTTAGTCCCTACACCCCCAGCAGGTCCCTGAGGTCCAGTGATCAAAGCCTACTGGTTGTGCAGCACCAGGCTAAAGACCAAAGGTGACAGATCATTTGCTGCCGTGGCCCCCAGACTCTGGACCTCTCTCCCCCTGAGCCTGAGATCAGTGGACTCAGTGGTCTCCTTTAAAAAGCAGCTGAAGACTCACTTGTTCAAGCTGGCTTTTGTATGACCTTCTTCACCTCTCTCTCTTTATTCTGCTCTCCCCACCTATTCCACCTTCCTCAGGATCCACTGATTTCCCTCTTTCCTGTTCACTCTCTCTCTTTAACATTTTTTAATCACAATTGCCTATTTTTGCTCATTTTAAATATACTTTTAAACATTTTCTAAATGCTTTTTAATATTTTTACATTTTTTGTTTTTGTGAAGCGCCTCGTGATTTTTATCTTGAGAGGCGCTACAGAAACGATACTTTCTTCTCTTCCGAACAGCAGTCACAGAAGATGTTTACTCCACTGCATCCAGACTGATAATGAATCACGCATGTGATCCACCGCTGGCTGATTCTACCCACACCAACTTCAGTCAGTCAGTAGTGGGTGTGTTGGGTTGGCTCCACACCTAGCTGGCCACCAGGGAGCAGGTCCAAAAATAACGGTCGGCTGAGCACAGAAACTCTCACCCAGATGTCAGCACAATTAACCTACCAGTGCTGGGCCGGGCCGACCCAGATGTGAGTGCACCGAATGTCGTATGTGGTAAATGTCATCAGTGATGTCATAGATGCTGCTATTAAAAAGGAAACCATTGTAACATGTTATAATGCCAAACATCAACACACCTCCTCCACAGCAGCAAGCTCCTCCTCCTCCACAGTGGGATGGTCCTCCTCAAGAGGAAGCTCCTCCTCCTCAATAGGAAGCTCCTCCTCCTCAAGAGGAAGCTCCTCCTCCTCAATAGGAAGCTCCTCCTCCAGCACTTCTGGATCTTCCTCAATCACCTGACAAAATACAGAGCCAATCAGCATCGACAGTTTCCACATTATATCCTCTGAGGCGTTAAATTCCATCCAATCATTTATCACTAAGATCTTCCATCGATGACTGGTCCCACCACCGTGCAAACCTTTCTCCAGCACATCCCAAATGCAAATGAACCAAATCCCAAATTGCATCCGAGCAGATCTTGTACCGACACTGGTCCGTCTGGCACCAACAACCATGCCACGTTCAAATTTGCTTAAATCAGCTTTCTTTCTCATTCTGACATTCAGTTTGGAGTTCAGGAAGTTGTCTTGACCAGGACCACGCCCCTAAATGCACTGAAGCAACTGCCATGTGATTGGTTGATTAGATAATTGCATTAAGGGGAAGTTGAATAGGTGTTCCTAATAATCCTTTAGGTGAGTGTAGAAGCACCTAGTGATTTTTATCTTGAAAGGCGCTATACAAAAGACCATTTCTTCTTCTTCTACAATATTTTGTGCGGAGATGGTGAGGTTACCACACAGCCGAGGGATCTTCATGGACAGAAGATTAGGAACCGCTGACCTCAACTCTCTACGCCTGGACCAGATTCTGCTACAGTGTTAGCAGAATCTGGTAAACATATATATCGTGATGTTTAAAACTGTAGTTTGATTAGTGAAAACAGTGTTTTTGTTTTCTTTCAAAAATGTGAAAGAACACCGTACTCCGCACACGCAGCCTTGGAGGCGCAGAGTATGGAGCAGCGATGCAACGAGCGCTGAAACAAGCTGATGTTTGTGATGGAGCAAAGTTCCTGAGGATTTAAACACAATCATGGTGGTCTGGACCAACCTCAGCATCCTCCACTGGTTCTGGTTCAGCTTCGGGTTCTGGCTCAGATGCTTCCAACTCAGGCTCAGCAACAAATTCGGGCTCAAGTTCTGGATCAGAAAACAAATGTTTGTACAGGAAGTCCTTTAGGTTAAATACCTAGATAAACTAATGTTCCACAATATTGCTGCTCTGATGGATGAAATCTTGATAAAATTTGCTTTTTGGGCCATTTTGTAAACAAAAACAGTTTATTATCAAAGTAAAAACTGATTTTTTTTTACTAAATAATATATATTTAAAATACGATTACGGTGAACTAAATGGTTCGATTGCACTTGATCTAACGTTACTGTCGGTAAATAACATCTAAATCATTCATATTTGGGAAAATAAATAAATAGCTTTTCACACGCTTTTTCACCTAATCAGAGTTTTAAGGTGAGTAAATTAGTCAGCAACACAAAGGAAATAATAAAAAAGAAACCATGAATACTTACAACTCAATAAACCACAAACTTGGAAACGTTTCAGGTGTTTTCGTAAAATAAAGCCCTCTGTGTTTTATATATATATACACACACACACACACACACACACACACACACACACACACACACACACACACACACACACACACACACACACACACACACACACACACACACACACACACACACACACACACACACACACACACACACACACACCTGGTGGTGCAGCAGCAGTGTCCCCTGCCACAGCAGCTTCTACCACATCTTCCACAGGCTCAGGGTCAGGCTCAATAACAGCTGAGGGATAGAAATATTCAATTATATGATGGCGGATATTAAAACAACGTCCAGGTGTGATTAAATAATTAGTGGAGAGCTTAGCTGGTCTATTTGGTGTTATGACCACACGCTTTCCTCTGAGCAAACTCAAGCAAACCAGCTGTACTAGTCTAGAAAAGCCTTAGGAGCCATTTTAATCGTCGCTTCTTCAGGGATCTCTAAACGTGTCGCCACTTAAAAGATGGAAAGTAAAGAGCCGGCAGATGAACCATGTTGGTTAATGGTGTGTTTCACATATTTTATTTACATATTAATGATTGAGTGAAGTGAACATGTTGGATTGGGTTGTTATTGAGAGATCAGCTGCATGTTGGAAGCAAACTGGTACTCCACAGGTGTTTATGAGGGTGTGACTGGCTGCTGGTTTCTGTGTATCCCTGTGATGGAGTGGAAACCAGTCGAGGGCGTCCGCTGCCTCTCACTGGGTGACTGCTGGAGTCAGAAAGCAGCCCTAGCCCTTGCTCTGATTAGGGAACGCACACGTGTACACTGTGCTTGTGACAGTTCGGTACAGCAGTTCTGTCCTCATGCAGGACTGATGATCGCTGCATCGTCTCTACACATAAAATATAATTTAACAAATAAGCGAAGAATCTCTTCTACAGTGGAACACGGCTAAACGGGAGAGGCTGCTGTGGGTGGCTGCATGTTGGAGTAGCTCTGTTGACCAGATGTAAGTTTTGCCTTTTCTTGGGCATTTTTTCTTCTAGTTTCTCAAGACAAACTGTATTTTTTGGACATTTTACTTTTCTGTTTCTGGTGCTGTGAAGATTGGAGGATTTTTACTGCTATGTTTTAGTTTTTTTCACTTTTTGAGCATTTGTTATGATGCGTAACCATGGCAACAAGCTGGTTTACAATCGGGAGCAGCTGATTAACATTGGAAAGGCTGAAATAATACCTCAACTGAAGCCACCAATCCCAAATGAGCTAAAACGCAAGAAGCGTGGGTGCAGAGCGGGAGCAAAACGGAGACAGAGAAAGAGGAGATTCACACCATCTCTCCCATCGATCATAATGGGCAATGTGAGATCACTGGCCAACAAGATGGAGGAACTCCAAGCCCTTTCGAGGACTCAGCCAGAGTTTCGGCAGGTTCGGGACCACTGGAGGAGAAAATGCAAAGAAGGATTCTCCAGAGAATCAAGAAAATGATGGACAACCCTGAGCGTTCTCTTCACAAGACTGTCCGACAACGGAAGAGTGTCTTCAGTCAGAGGCTTCTTCAGTTTGGCTGCAATACTGACCGCTACTGGAGATCCTTCCTGCCAACAGCCGTTGTAATATACAACAACTCTTTGATGACTTGATTATTATTATTATTCTGAGCTACTACAGCAATCAGTTTCCCTCTGGGATTAATAAAGTATGTTTGAATTGAATTTGAATTGAATTTCAGTGCTCAACTCCTCCGCAGCCATTTCTGCTGTTTTCATTAGTGACACCTGCTGGTCAGAAGGAGAATTGCCGACACAAAAACTCTAAAAGTCAGATTTCCATTTTATTACGTGGATCAGCAGATATTCAAGTTCACTCCTGTTTTATTGAGTTGTAATGTAGAAAATGTAAAGTCTGAGTTACTGACGGTGGTTAACACATGTGCTGCCTTGTGGGGCTTTAGTTTGTGCACTAGACCTCATTTTGTAAATTATTTATTCAATTCACTTCAATTCAATTCAAAAATACTTTATTAATCCCAGAGGGAAATGGATTGCTGTAGTAGCTCAGAATAATAATAATAATCAAGTCATCAAAGAGTTGTTGTATATTACAATAGCTGTTGGCAGGAAGGATCTCCATTAGCGGTCAGTGTTGCAGCCAAACTGAAGAAGCCTCTGACTGAAGACTGGTTTGAATTTCCTCTTTCTCTGTCTCCGTTTTGCTCCCGCTCTGCACCCACGCTTCTCGCGTTTTAGCTCATTTGGGATTTGTGCCTTCAGTTGAGGTGTTATTTCAGCCTTTCCAATGTTAATCAGCTGCTCCCGACTGTAAACCGGCTTGTTGCCATGGTTACGCATCATAACAAATGTTCAAAAAGTGAAAAAAGTGAAGAAAAAAATAGCAGTAAATATCCTCCAAGCTTCACAGCACCAGAAATAGAAGAGTAAAATGTCCAAAAAATTCAGTTTTTCTTGAGAAACTAGAAGAAAAAATGACCAAGAAAAGGCTAAACTTACATCTGGTCAGCAGAGCTACTCCAACATGCAGCCACCCAGAGCAGCGCAGTTACGGAACTATTGAGTGAGGTTTTAATGATTTGCCATTTGTGAAATACTGAGAGCAGCAGTGTGTGTGTGTGTGTGTGTGTGTGTGTGTGTGTGTGTGTGTGTGTATGTGGTACCTTCTGGAGTTGGTTCCGGTTCCTCAGCATCCGACAGAGCAGCAGCCTCTCCACTACGACCAGCAGCGACAGCAGCCCTTTCCTTCAGCCCTAAGTTAAATCAGGCACATTGTTGAAAGGAAATGAGAGAACCATCTCATTTACCTGAGCCTAAACGGAACGTGGACGTTAGACCACGGCAAACAGCAGGGAGTGGCAATGGCATCACATCATAACTATACACACACACACAGACAGACACGCACACGCACACGCGCACACACACACACAGCACTACGTCATGTTGATTGATTATTGTTGTTGATTATTGGATATCAGAGTGAAGAAAATCCCAACAGCCTGAACAAAAACACACCAGGATGAGTTTCCTTGTTTCCTGAAAGCATTTCACGTCTCGTTCAAAAGGATTCTTTAGTTCCGATTGTGGATCTGGAGTGTTAGGCTCCTAAAGGCTTTTTCTTTTTTTACACAATCCAAGTGTGAGCCCTGGCCAGTCTGTGGGTCGGCTGGGTCATGTGGGCTGTTTAACAACTAGACTAGACCATTAGGTGTTTGAATGGTTATGAACAGGGGCGGCGTTAGGCCCGGCTACTTGGGCTGAAGCCCCGGATCTTTCATGATAAGCCCCGGATCTAAATCGCGGAAGTAACATGCAGTACCAAAGTCCAACAGAGAGAGCGCAGCTGGCAGTAGTTTGTAAAGTCCCATTTAGTCGTCACACACAGGTGTGTGGTGAAATTTATTCTCCGCATTTGACCCATCCCCTGGGTCAAAATAGCTCAGGGACTATTTGGTGGTTTAACCCCCCAATCCAACCTCTTAATGCTGAGTGTCAAGCAGGGAGGCATTGGGTCACATTTTTCTCAAAGTCTTTGGTATGACCCGACCAGGAGTCGAACCCCTGATCTCCCGATCTCAGGACGGACACTCTGCCACTAGGCCACTCAGTCGGCATACAGCCTGCCTGAGCCTCCACCACTGAAGAGAAGCCCTTCAGCAGCCGGCTTCTTCTACACTCTCTGTCTGAAACGCATGAGTGAAGATGGACATAAGGATGTTTTTAGACCAAAAGTACAACGACAGAACCCCAGCTCTGATGAGACTGGTGTTGACTCAGGTTTGTGAGTCTTATTTGAAAATATTTGTTGTGCTGCTGGTTTGCCTAAAGTTAGCTTATCAGGTAAAGTTGTTGGAGAAAGAAAGGGAATATTTACTATCATCTCACACTAAACACTAACAGGAACAATACTCTGCCCTGAATATGCTGAATATGTAGCTTCAGATTAAACATTATGTGGTACAAGATATATATATATATATATATATATATATATATATATATATATATATATATATATATATGATGTTGACTAGTGCGTGTCACGTGTGTGCGCGCATGCGTGCGTGCGCGAGTGTGTGCGCGTGTGTCTTAAGCCCCGGATCTTCTTCAGTCCTAAATCCGCCCCTGGTTATGAAACTGCCTAAAAAGAAGAGTCAAAGGGGAACTGATGGCAACGTGTGACTGAACACACCTAGAGGCTGAAAACAACAGGAGGACATCACAAAGGAGTCTGGAACCTTTTTTTTCTCAGGTGTTACAAACCAGACAAAGACAACTTGAGTAAAAGCAAAGGGAAAATTTCAAATTAATAAATTAACACAGTTGTTGGGATGAGGATCAGCACCTCCAAATCTGAGACCATGGTTCTCGACCGGAAAAGGGTGGCTTGCCACCTCCGGGTCGGGAGAGAGGTCCTACCTCACGTGGAGGAGTTTAAGTATCTCGGGGTCTTGTTCACGAGTGAGGGTAGGAGGGATCGGGAGACCGACAGGCGGATTGGTTCGGCGTCTGCAGTGATGCGGACGCTGAGCCGATCTGTCGTGGGGAAGAGGGAGCTGAGCCAGAAAGGCAGGCTCTCGATTTACCGGTCGATCTACGTCCCAATCCTCACCTATGGTCATGAGCTTTGGGTAATGACCGAAAGAACGAGATCGCGGATACAAGCGGTCGAAATGAGTTTCCTCCGTAGGGTGGCCGGGCTCAGCCTTAGAGATAGGGTGAGGAGTTCGGACATTCGGGAGGGACTCGGAGTAGAACCGCTGCTCCTCCGGATCGAAAGGAGTCAGTTGAGGTGGTTTGGGCATCTGGTCAGGATGCCTCCTGGATGCCTCTCTGGGGAGGTTTTTTGGGCATGTCCTGCCGGCAGGAGGCCCCCGGGTCGACCCAGGACACGTTGGAGAGATTACATCTCCAATCTGGTCCGGGAACGCCTTGGGGTCCTGCCGGAGGAGCTGGTGGAGGTGGCCGGGGAGAGGACGGTCTGGAGCTCCCTAGTTGGGATGCTGTCCCCGTGACCCGGACCCGGACCCGGATAAGCGGAGGAAGACGACGACAACCAGGTTCTGTGTGTAAAAGTACCCAAACCCCAGAACCGTGATAATAACGGCGCACCGAGCAAAAGGGAGCGGGTGTCTCATGGTATAACCATCCCTGCGTCACTGAAGGAAATTCAGATGAGCCACAGAGCTGCGTGTGTAAACGGGACGGTAGTTGAAACTCCCGTTGACTTTATTTGCTAAATGCAGGAAAAGCCAAAGTGTCTGACGGCTGCAGAACCAGAGATCGCAGGTTGATGCCCGCGCCGTCTCTAGTAGAAGCGTGAGCCTGCAGCAGCAGTAGAGGTAAATCGGCGGACTCAACTACAACTGCAACTGTACCGTGTCGGCGAATCAGACCGGCCGAAAACGGTTTATGATTGGTCAGTCCTCGTGCACATGTGCAGATTATCGTTCTCTTTCCTTACTCCCGGAAGAACGGTTCAGACTGTAAATGGTTTATTTGCTGCTAATCTGTGGGGAATATCTATTTCTACAGAAAGTAGCAACGGGTCCTGAGAAATGTCGCTAGGTTTGTCGCTAGGCGCTTTTTGGAAAAAAAGTCGTTGAGGGGGGTCAAAAAGTCGTTAGGAACACTGATTAGAATAGGGGCACATGTTTCAATCAGCAGTTTGAAAATTCGTTTATATAGGCGCATTTATAAACCACACAGACCTTCACTGAGCTAACGGGTGTCTGTGCGTGAGAAGCAGGCAGGTACTACTGCGTTTAAGTGTTTCAGGTTTTTTTTATGAATTCGATTAAACATAAAGGTGCCCGGCCCGGCCCGTGTCCGAGGTAATTACACAGTCGTTGGCCCGAAGCCCGGCCCTCGGGCCGTTGGGCCGGGCTTCGGGCCTAGGGCTTCAGTGCAGGGCTCTACAGCTGAGTACACATTGAGGTGTATTTTTATTATGGAGTACTGAAAATTTTCAGAATGTGGTGTAGGAGACTTATAAACACTTTCCAGTAGGTAAACAAAAGCCATAAAAGAGTCAGAATCAGCTCAGTGGGACGAAGGGACATTGACATGAACCAAGTGGATTTTTTTTTTACCATAACACAGATTATGACCATAAACCAACAAAGGAAGACTGAAATTACACTTTTGACTTCATTAAATTAGCTTTGTTTTGCTTTTCATTTAGTGGTCCCAGGGCACTGAGGTAAAAACCATGGGTTCTACCATTTAGATGAGCCTCTTCCCGTTACACACATGTGCAGTTTGTATATATTAGTGAAAATTAAGCATGTTTTGGAACAACTTTGTTGCCGTAACTGCTCGTGGACCTAGTATCAGGTCCATCAGGTTCAATTTGTGGGTTCAATTTGTGTGATGCAAAAGAATGGTAATTTGACACCCCCTAGTGGTGATATGTGATAAGCACATATGAAAAATGACTTGCAAAAATGCGGCTCACAAATTAATTATTATAATTCACCAGCCACCACTGCTTTTCAAACAGGAAACGTGGGTGGACTTAGGTAGGGGGGTGACTTGCTCTTTAGGCACAAACCTCGTCTGTGTAGGAGAAAGTCCACCAGTGAAACTAGTGATCCAAATTCTTGATTATAAAAAAGAAAAAAGTATTACATAATGAATAAAGAACGGTTTTATTATATCCTTACAAGTTAAAAATGCACGTAGGTCAACTTCTAAGCTCAGCTCTACAATAACCTTTAGTTCTTATAACGCCAAATTCACAGAGGGAGTTCATACAGGCAATGAAAGCAGGTTCAGAACAAAGAGGTCCAAACCTGACAGAGGTTAATAACAACATGCTTACTGTTGAAGACACAGCAGTTTTGCATCTTCTGATCGTTTTTTCTGTCAGCAATAGAAAACCGGAGTGAAGCGGGCAGCTGTCCAAGCATGAGTCCTCATCACAAGTCATTTTTATGTTTCCGGGCAGAAGATGTTAGAGGGAGACTCTAATGGAGCAATTATAAAAAGAGAGCTTATGAGTTCCTGAGAGTCTGTATTAGGACAAAGAAACTGACATCAAAGCTTTTGCTGATAACGGAATGAGGTTTGCCACGTTTGACTGGTGTGACTCGACCATAAAGCTCGTTTCCATCCGGATCAGCTGGGTCTGGGCTGGGTGTTTACATCTGTGTTATCCATACTGAACCGACTGCTTTTTTGTTTTTTGGGACCCGCTCCACACAAGTCAACTTGGTGTCAAGGTGGACCAACACACCCACTATAGGAAGCCTAAGTCTCCTCCCTTTCTGGTCGGCTCACGGGTCCCCGGAAGAACGAAAAAATGAATTCAAGTCAACGGGGCAAAAATTGCTATTTTCTAATTTGCGTTGCCTTACGCCCTGGATCGCACATACAGTGGGGCAAAAAAGTATTTAGTCAGCCACCGATAGTGCAAGTTCTCCCACTTAAAATGATGACAGAGGTCAGTAATTTTCATCATAGGTACACTTCAACTGTGAGAGACAGAATGTGAAAATAAATCCATGAATTCACATGGCAGGATTTTTAAAGAATTTATTTGTAAATCAGGGTGGAAAATAAGTATTTGGTCAATAACAAAAATTCAACTCAATACTTTGTAACATAACCTTTGTTGGCAATAACAGAGGTCAAACGATTACTATAGGTCTTTACCAGGTTTGCACACACAGTAGCTGGTATTTTGGCCCATTCCTCCATGCAGATCTTCTCGAGAGCAGTGATGTTTTGGGACTTTCAACTCCCTCCACAGATTTTCTATGGGGTTGAGGTCTGGAGACTGGCTAGGCCACTCCAGGACTTTCAAATGCTTCTTATGGAGCCACTCCTTTGTTGCCCGGGCGGTGTGTTTGGGATCATTGTCGTGGTGGAAGACCCAGCCACGTTTCATCTTCAAAGCTCTCACTGATGGAAGGAGGTTTTGGCTCAGAATCTCACGATACATGGCCCCATTCATTCTGTCCTTAACACGGATCAGTCGTCCTGTCCCCTTAGCAGAAAAACAGCCCCAAAGCATGATGTTCCCACCCCCATGCTTCACAGTAGGTATGGTGTTCTTGGGATGCAACTCAGTATTCTTCTTCCTCCAAACAAGACGAGTTGAGTTTATACCAAAAAGTTCTACTTTGGTTTCATGACCACATGACATTCTCCCAATCCTCTGCTGTATCATCCATGTGCTCTCTGGCAAACTTCAGACGGGCCTGGGCATGCACTGGCTTCAGCAGCGGAACACATCTGGCACTGCAGGATTTGATTCCCTGCCATTGTAGTGTGTTACTGATGGTGACCTTTGTTACTGTGGTCCCAGCTCTCTGCAGGTCATTCACCAGGTCCCGCCGTGTGGTTCTGGGATTCTTTTCTGGGATTCTTGCTCACCGTTCTCATGATCATTTTGACCCCACGGGATGAGATCTTGCGTGGAGCCCCAGATCGAGGGAGATTATCAGTGGTCTTGTATGTCTTCCATTTTCTGATAATTGCTCCCACAGTTGATTTTTTCACACCAAGCTGCCTGCCAATTGTATATTCACTCTTCCCAGTCTGGTGCAGGTCTACAATTCTTTTCCTGGTGTCCTTCGAAAGCCCTTTGGTCTTGGCCATAGTGGAGTTTGGAGTCTGACTGTTTGAGGCTGTGGACAGGTGTCTTTTATACAGATAATGTGTTCAAACAGGTGCCATTAATACAGGTAATGAGTGGAGGACAGAAAAGCTTCTTAAAGAAGACGTTACAGGTCTGTGAGAGCCAGAGATTTTCCTTGTTTGAAGAGACCAAATACTTATTTTCCACCCTGATTTACAAATAAATTCTTTAAAAATCCTGCCATGTGAATTCATGGATTTTTTTTCACATTCTGTCTCTCACAGTTGAAGTGTACCTATGATGAAAATTACTGACCTCTGTCATCATTTTAAGTGGGAGAACTTGCACAATCGGTGGCTGACTAAATACTTTTTTGCCCCACTGTATGTTGTACTGCAATTTAAATGAAAAGTAATGAGGTGCTTCAACCACGTTAGTCACGTACTTTGAGATTTATACCATACCATACCAATTTTATTTATATAGCACATTTAAACACGGCATGAGAGCCGACCAAAGTGCTGAACAAAAACACACAATAAAAACAATCAAAAATAAAAACTAAATCCATTAAAATCAAGTAATCCAACTCGAAAAGAAAAGGAGAAAGGGAATAAGTTAGACAGAATTAAAAGCCAGAGAATAAAAGTGAGTTTTTAAACGAGACTTAAAAAGGGAAAGAGAGGAAGAGAGTCTGATCGGGAGGGGCAAGTGGTTCCAGAGCTTTGGTGCACAAACTGAAAAGGCGCGCTCCCCGCGGGACTTACAGCGAGAGCTAGGGACATGTAGGAGGTGCTGGTCAGCTGATCGGAGGGATCTTGTAGGGACATATGGGTGAATGAGCTCAGACAAGTAGCCAGGTGCTAAGTTATGGAGGGATTTAACAACAAAAACCAGGATCTTAAACTTTATCCGGAGATGGATGGGGAGCCAATGGAGATTTTCTAAAACCGGTGTGATGAGTTCCCGCTGCCTGGTGCCAGTCAAGAAACGAGCTGCTGCGTTCTGCACAAGCTGAAGTCGAGCGAGAGTGGAGGAGGAGATACCGTACAGCACTGAGTTAGAGTAGTCGAGACGGGAAGTAATAAATGCATGGACAACTGAATGGAGATGACGCCTTTTTAACATGGGCTTAACTTTAGAGAGAGACGCCTCAGGTGGTAATAACAGGTCTTAACTACCTGGTTGACATGAATGTCCATTTTTAGTTTAGCATCCATCACAACCCCTAAGTTTGTGACACGGTTTTTCAACCCACTTGTGATAAATGGAAGGGTCAGTTGGGGACTTTGAGAAGTACCAGGGCTGAAAATGATGGCCTCTGTCTTAGCGTTGTTCAGCAAAAGAAAGTTTTCTGACAGCCAGCTCTTCACATCATTGCAGCATTCAACAAGGGGCAGTAAGGAGTCATTAGGCTTCACAGAGGCATATAATTGGCAATCGTCTGCATAAAAATGGTAATCAATGTGGTGTTTTTTAAAAATGTCACCCAGGGGCAAAATATATACAGTTGTGGTCAGAAGTTTACATACACTTGTAAAAAATATAATATAATGGCTCTACTGAGTGTCCCGTTATTTCTAAAACTCTGATTTTTCTCTGATAGAGTGATTGGAACAGATACTTCTTTGTCACAAAAAACATTCATGAAGTTTGGTTCTTTAATGTCTTTATTATGGGTTAACAGAGAAAAGTGATCACATTTGCTGGGTCACAAATATACATACAGCAACATGAACTAGCGATTTTGGTGACTTAGAAACGTGTCAGTGAACTGAGCTTCATAGCATGGCCTCTTAACTTCTTGTGAGTGATTATGAGTGACTACAGCTGGTGACTTCTCTTAGGCCAGGTAAATGGGGCTCATTGGATACAAACTCCCACAAACGCTACAATGGGAAAGTCAAAGGAGCTCAGCATGGATCTGAAAAAGCAAATTATTGACTTGAACAAGTCAGGAAAGTGACTTGGGGCCATTTCAAAGCAGCTGCAGGTCCCAAGAGCAACAGTGCAAACAATTGTTTGTAAGTATAAGGTGCATGGCACTGTTTCATCACTGCCAAGATCAGGAAGAAAACGCAAGCTATCACCTGCTGCTGAGAGAAAATTGGTCAGGAGGGTAAAGAGTGAACCAAGAATCACCAAAAAGCAGATCTGCCAAGAATTAGAAGCTGCTGGAACACAGGTGTCATTGTCCACAGTCAAACGTGTTTTGCATCTCCATGGACTGAGAGGCTGCCGTGCAAGAAGGAAGCCCTTGCTCCAAAAGCGGCACCTTAAGGCTCGACTGAAGTTTGCTGCTGATCACATGGACAAAGATAAGACCTTCTGGAGGAAAGTTCTGTGGTCAGACGAAACAAAAATTGAGCTTTTTGGCCACAATGCCCAGCAATATGTTTGGAGGAGAAAAGGTGAGGCCTTTAACCCCAAGAACACCATGCCTACAGTCAAGCATGGTGGTGGGAATATTATGCTGTGCGGCTGTTTTGCTGCCAATGGAACTGGTGCTTTACAGAGAGTAAATGGGATAATGAAGAAGGAGGATTACCTTCACATTCTTCAACATAACCTCAAATCATGAGCACGAAGGTTGGGTCTTGGGCGCAGTTGGGTGTTCCAACAGGACAATGACCCCAAACACACATCAAAAGTGGTAAAGGAATGGCTAAATCAGGCTAGAATAAGGGTTTTAGAATGGCCTTCCCAAAGTCCTGACTTAAACCCCATTGAAAACATGTGGACAGTGCTGAAGAAACAAGTCCATGTCAGAAAGCCATCAACTTTAACTGAACTTCACCAATTCTGTCAAGAGGAGTGGTCAAAGAATCAACCAGAAGCTTGCCAGAAGCTTGTGGATGGCTACCAAAAGTGCCTAATTGAAGTGAAAAAGGCTAAGGGACATGTAACCAAATATTAGCACTGCTGTATGTATATTTGTGACCCAGCAAATGTGATCACTTTTCTCTGTTAACCCATAATAAAGACATTAAAGAACAAAACTTCATGAATGTTTTTTGTGACAAAGAAGTATCTGTTCCAATCACTCTATCAGAGAAAAATCAGAATTTTAGAAATAACGGGGCACTCAGTAGAGCCATTATATTATATTTTTTACAAGTGTATGTAAACTTCTGACCACAACTGTAAATTAAATAAAAGGGGTCCAAGAATAGAGCCCTGAGGAACACCACAAGTCAAAGCTGCAGAGGGGGAGGCAGCACTACCCATCATAACATTAAAGGTGCGGTCACAAAAGTAGGACCTAAACCAGTTTAAGGCAGTCCCCTGGATGCCGACCTGCTGGTTCAGCCGAGTCAGCAGAATAGCATGATCAACCGTATCGAAAGCAGCCGACAGATCCAACAAAACCAGCAATACATTAGAACCAGAGTCAAGGGTTAATAAAATGTCATTAAAAACACGAAGATGAGCTGACTCCATGCTATGGAGGGATCGGAAGCCTGACTGGAAGGGATCCATTAAACCATGATCATCTAGATGAGACATAATTTGGTTAAAAACAGCACGCTCTAACAGTTTTGATAAAAATGGAAGCTTGGAGATCGGGCGAAAATTACTCATAACAGAGGTGTCACCTTGTAAAAGTTCGTAATTAGCATGAAACACCAGACATCGGTACGTGACCACAGAATCTCCTCTCCCCTAGCATAGCTGCTACTTACCACATGGCCAGATTTATGGTGGTTATTTCCTCCTAAAAGAGAAGGATTTGAAGTTTGCTGAACAGCCATTTCCCTCTGTTTTAATCCGCGTCTAGTTCGGTGATGTCCTTTTGGTGATGCACATTTGTATTCCTGGACTTATTTTTTTACACAAAACTAAAATAATATTCCCCCATTCGAAAATAAGCACTTTCTTGGTATCAAATTGTGACTTTAAATTCACGGATATCAAATGTGAAATCCATGGCACATAAACAGAATTAGAAAACACCCTTTAGCCTCAATGACTTGCATTGATTTTCTTCGTTCTTCCAGGGACCCATGGTCCGCAAGTAGATGGGCGTGACTAGGCTCCCTATGGACCAGCTAGCTCCGTCCATGTGCTCGGAGACATCTGCATTCCTGAGAAGGCCGTGTAAACGAAACCTCGTCGAACAGGGACGAGCTGTCTCCTCCCAGCCCAGGCTGTTCCCACCTAAATGTAAATGTGATCAGAGTCTGGGTGGAACCGTGTGTTCCCACAGCTAGACTGAAGTTCGGATGACTCCGGTGGGTATGGCAGTGTAGACCTGCCACCAAGGAAAAACAGAAATATTTTTATTTAGCCTGGGTGGCAGGTCGACGCTGCTGTACAGCTCTAGGGTTCAATGCAGAAAACTGAAAATCAACTGTGTTGACACCTGGTCGTACTGCAAACACTGACTGTTCCAACAATCTCAGGTCCCATTCACAGCTGGCCCCAACATCCACCAGCGCAATCTGGAAGTCACCAAATATAAGCCTGGTGCTCCCAGTATGCACTAAAGTCACTCCGGACACATTCACAGCTGGTCTGGAACACTTTTGATCACATTTGTTTGGTAGTCTGCAAGCCATCCTGAGCCGTGCAAAAGCACCACCCATTCAACAAAAGGGTCGCTCAACAAGCCCCGCCCACCAACAAAAACAACGGCCCACTGGCCTGACTCGACTCCTCACCACCACCATAAGAATGATTACCAGCACGTCTCCCGGTTTGAAAAGTCTGACGCTCTGATCATCTTTAGAGGAGAGGGAAGCTGCTGTGGTCGTTTCAAGACAAACGTTACCAGTCCGATCAGCAATCGGTCACATTCAAACAGAGGTTATGTTCACGTGTGGGAAACAGCTGGTTTCACCTCTGTTTTTGATTGAAAAGTCTGACTCAAGTGAATCTGGTTGGTAAACGGTCATTCAATTCAATTCAAAGATACTTTATTAATCCCAGAGGGAAATTACGTCATGTGAGTGATTTTACAGAAACATCACCTGGAGCAGGTAACGGAGACTTTTTTTTTATCCAGAGAATGACAAACCGGACTTAGAGATGTCGGACCTCGAGTTAAAGCAGGCCTGTACGGGTGCTAGCGTTAGCCAGGCGGCCCCCTCACCAAACACTCAGAAAACCATCAGAGACATGCGTTTATCATCCACGCAGCCCGGTATAAAACACGCCTGACATCCTCTGACCATCAGCGAGCTCCACACCGAGTTTCCCTTCCAACTGGAATCAGAGGGGACTCTTATGTGTGATGCACTTTTACAAAAGCGGTTCCTTGTTCGTGCTGGAAAAGACTTCCAGTAATTGTTGAGCTCTTACTAAAGCACTGGCAAACACCTTTGGGTGGATAAAGTGGGGACAGGTTTCAAAAAGTGTTTAAACTATTAAGTGAAAAACTGTTTATATTTAAAATCAACTGGAAAAAAAATTTTGGGTTAAAAATATACAAAAATTACAAAAAGTACTTTAAAGGTTCCACAGGTCTGGATGAAAATGGAGGAAAACTGCAGAATAAACTCTGCAACAGGTTCCCTGACTGAAAGGAACCTCCTCAGCTGAAAACAAGGGGGCTGCGGTCCTTGGCCCAAGGCTACTGGTTATGGAGGCCGACTATGATGATCTTTTGGTCGCGACTCCCATCACCGTTGGCTCCTCTTTGTCTGACCTCTCCCTCATCTTCTTCTTCCTCGTCCTCTTCCTCGTGCTCATTCGTGAATCCTCCTGAAGAGCTACGCTTCCCGGTGACCTCCACGGGCTCCAGTGGATTTATCAGACCATACAGGAAAGTGAAGAAACCGTTTAACCAATCAGCGCCACCCTCTTCCACTTCTTCTAACCAATCCAGAACCTCAGCTTCACCCTGACCACCGCTGCCACTGGCCAGACCTATGCAAACAAGAGGTGGGTGGGTGGTATGGGAGGGAAGGGAAGGGAAGTTCAGGACCCAAACACAGGGAAGTGGAGAATAAAAATGAGAAAAAGCATGCAAGGGATATAAAATTAAAGGTGAAATTAAAATAAAAAAGAAAAGTGATGCAGAGCAGAAGCAAAGAGGGAAGAAGAGGGGAAGAAACAGGTAAGAGAAGTTTAAAGTGTAGGTTAGGCAGAAGGGAACTACTCAGGTTGAATCAAAGCAACAGAATCAGACAAGATCCTTAATCAGAACCGCTAAAGAGTTGTAGTTCATTCACGGCTAGAACGTCTTCCGAAATGCAGACGGACTTAAAATAAACTAAACAGAAGGAGGGGTAAAAACCCACGCTTGCAGGAAGAGATCTACATTAGAATTATGGCTTGTGGTGCTGATGGGCACCTGATCACCCTCCATTTATAGTGGAGGCTTGACCAAATGAAATGCATCGCTCCTGAACTTGATCAATTATAGATCTATGTTGTAACAGAATGAAATGACTGTTTTCCCTCTCCTCTGACACAGGACTAGTCTGCATGAGATATGGCCTCAAGGTCTCATGCATTTGCTTCTAACCTGCTTATTTTCAGCTCAACAGAAGAATGAAGAAAGGACTCTTTTCTTTTAATTAATCAAATAACTCTTATTTTAATAAAGCTAATCCATCAAAGTGTTGGTCAAAAAATAA